ATTAAATTTTTTATTGAAACGTAGGATCTAAATAAGTTAAATACCTTTTTTGGTCTATCTACTATAGGAAAAAGCTTTTTTTTTTTGTCTCTGTACCGAAAAAATCCTTTTTTTAGTCCTTACTGATCATAAATTCGGCCTCTTTTTGGTCTTTCCGTTAATTTTGGCTATTAACTTAATTGAAACAGCTGATATGGATATGCCAACATGTAAAAGATGCTTACATGGACTCCATGTCATCCTCCATGTCACCCTCCACGTGGACTCCACTTCCTCCGGCCATTTTTTTTTTTCTTTTTTTCCTTTTACCCCCCAGGCGAACCTAGGCTACCCAGGAGCCTGGGTTCTTCATGAACCCGCAAGCTGGGTTCGTCGCATGCTTCATATATTACTGTATACCATGGAATGCATCCTAAAATTTTAAAAAGAATTGGAACAAAAGACACATATCCAACTCAAAAAAGAAAATATCTTTCACCTCAACAACTCAGTCTCTAACCATAGACATAAAGCATTGCCTAAAATCATCCCTAAATTAGCACCCAATTTGCATAATTCAGAATTTACCTTCAATCCAAGCAAATACCCAATTTATCGAGAGCTGTGACGAACCCAGGCTCCTGGGTAGCTTGCGACGAACCCAACTCGCGGGTTTGCAAGGAACCCAGGTGCCTGGGTTCATCGTGAACCCGTAAGCTGGGTTCCTCGCGAACCCAAGCTCCTAGGTAGCCTGCGATGAGCCCAGCTCGCGGGTTCGCGAGGAACCCAGCTCGCTGGTTCGCGCAGAACCTAGGCTCCTGGGTTCCTCGCGAACCCAAGCTCCTGGGTAGTCTGGGTTCGCTTAGGGGGGGTAAAAGGAAAAAAAGAAAAAAGACCGAAGAAAGTGGAGTCCACGTGGAGGGTGACGTGGAGTCTACCTGGAGTCCACGTAAAGATCTTTTACCTGTTGGCATATCCACATCAACTGTTTCAGCTAACGTGCTACGTGAGCAAAAATTAACAGAATGCCAAAAAGGAGTCGGATTTATGAACAGTAAAGACTAAAAAAGGGATTTTTTCGGTACAAAGACCAAAAAAAAACTTTTTTCTATAGTAGAGAGACCAAAAAAGATATTTAACCGATCTAAATATGAACACCACTTGCCACAAGGGAATGTAAACATCGATTGTTAAATAAAAGAAACTCCTCATCATTAAATAAATTACATTTTGGCACCGTAATGTAGCCTGAATTGTAAAACTTTTTCTTTTTTTTTTTGGTAAATAATTGCTAAACTTATTTAAATATCTAAAACCAACAAATCAGAAGTTACTCTTATACATTGGACTCGTTCATGGATATTGAATAAAATTTCACATTTGAAACCTTGATTTTTTGAGATTTTTTGCACTCAGTGGTTCAAACCTACATTTTCAGTATGATTAAAACATGCTCTCGATGGGGTGTGAAATGCTAAGTTGCTAGTAGCTGGGTAGTCGGTTCGTTTTTCTGCCATGATGATCATGTGTTCTTGTGTCGTGCAGGGTGGGTGAATGGTATTTTGTCAGCAAGTTGCAGAACATTTTTGTCTACCCGATCGTGATTTCAAACGTGGCCATACAAGCATGCGTGCTCATTTTGTATGTAAGTCATCCTTGTGTACTAGAACACCCCCACCCCTTTCAATTTCAGTGGTCACCTGCATGCAAAATCATTTATTAAGGATTTTGCCCCAATAAATATTGGCAGCTGGTTCGGGACTGATTTGGATAAGGAGCTACAGGCAAATATGGTTTTTTTTTTTTTTGTTATACTAATCTCTCAACATTTGATAATTACATTGAGTGCCAATTAATTCGAAATTGAGTCACGTCAAATCTTATTTGGAAAAAAGCTTTCTCAGCAACTATTTCTTCATTTATAAGACTCGAACTCGAAATCTTATTTAAGGGAAATCGAACTCCTTCCATTCGAATTAATAAGTTATTGATGCAAACATTACTTTTAAGTCAACATTACTTCAGCCAAATAATGGAGGGGTGGTGGCAATAAGTCCTGGTCAGAAGATAAGCAATGTGGGGTTTTGATGTGAAATATGTTTCATAAATAGTGCAGAAGTTTAGGTCACGGACATAATGGGAGCATGACTTTTATAGAATATGAAAATCTTATAAAGATATGAAATTACAATTAGCTAGTTGAGTTAGTTAAGTTTGCTCTTTAAATATTGCGTCACGAATATGCATAAGATTCTTCATAATTTCGATTGTAGTAAGAATTAAGATGTCAAGAAAAAAAGTTGTTTTCTGTTGCATAGTACAATCATGGGAGCTTAGAATGACGAAGATGAAGAATTGTAGGTATGAATTTTATCTTTAAGGATTCTCTTTGATGTCATACTCATGGACAATGCCATAATTTAAGGCTTGACCTCTTTAGGACACACAAAGGGGGGAATAAGTCAGCACTCAGCATTGCTTTAACAACCCCCACGTACCCCACCAAGTGAAAAGTTACTTAGAAAAAAAGAAAAAAGCTAATACTTGCCCATTTCTTCTACTTAACAAAGGAAAAGGTTGAATCAAAGTGCTTTTCCAAATAGCTTATGCTACCGTATTTGATTAGCTTCACAAGATGGAATTGACTATGGACCATGGAGCCCCTTCCTTTTCTATCCTTTTCATCACCACGATTCTGTTTATGTGATTCTTCTATTAAAAAACAATTTGGTAGCCGTGGCCCCTATGGTACCCTTTTGTGGGATACCTTTACCGTGATTGCGCCCAGAGGTTACTAAAAATAATAATCATGGGAATCTTGATTAGTTAGTGGAAAATCTTAGCTGTCACATTGTCCATCCTTCATGTTGCTGAGTGCCAATGTGCCAAACACTCCTTGAGATAACAATATATAGATGCTACTAAATGCACTATTTATATTGTAAGTTTCATGTTGCATGAAGAAAACCTCAAGCTTGTGTAAAAAAGGTTTGAGATTATCCATAGGGTTTAGGGTCAATGGTTATAGCTGTAAATGGAAGGGTCTAAAAGATGAGCGTGAATGATGGGTGCCTGGAGGTTAGAAAGCATGTGATGATATTCATTCACTGTGGTATCACAAGCAATTTAGTTGACTAGAAGCAGAACAAGCTGTAAAGCGGTACCCTAATTCAGCATCCATTATTGACCCCTATTGTGCTTTCTAACCTCGGTTTACACTTGAGAACTTAGGCAAGTGATTTGGACATTCATTATACATAATGCACTTAATTATGAGCCCTATAGAATGAAAAGCACAAATTTCTTCATAAAACGGCCGTTACCCATTTTTTAAGTCTCTACAACAATACAAAGTTAGGTGGTTCTATAGGCCCCTTGAAGCTTCTCTCCTTCACAATTATATTGTAGAATAGTAAAAGGTTTGACAATTAGGCTTCAGAATTGTACTTTAGCCATAAGCAGATAAGCAATGACTCTAAAATCAATCACCTAAAATCAGAATTCTATTGTCAACAACTAAATAGAGACATTTGGACCAAATGCTATGAACATATACCATGCAAATAAATGTGCCAGACAGCTATTTAGTACCCTGACCTTAGAACATTTCCTAAGCAGAGTTTAATATCACTGCACCTACAAGTTTTCCTGTGGGGAATTTGTCTTGGATTTGGGGTTTGGATTCAGATTCAGTGGAGTTGGATTCGAATCCATTTGGCAAAAGGTTGTATGCAGAGGACTTAAGCATCACAGGTTTTTCTGGGAATACATTTTCCTTCACTTGCCAAGTTATTATGTTCCAGATAGACAAAGCAATAAGCAATTCAGACCAATTCTCCAAACAAAACCCTTATAGTGTACATCAATATCTCTTCAACAAACCAAAAGATCAAAAAGAGGTCGAGCATCTTCCAGAGAAACAAAAAGTAGCTTACGGAGTAATGATTACATTACATCTCATAAACTGAAGTCAATTGCATAATTAGGTATCTATAGTCTTCCATCCCCTTTTCAC